CCCCCCCCCCCCCCCCCCCCCCCCCCTGTCCCCCCCAGCCACTGGCTGGACCAGCTCGTTTGTATTCCTCTCTCTCGCAGACGCTTGGTGCTTGCTGAACTAGGTTACTGCTTTGCTCTAGGCAGCCTGCCTTTGCCTATTTCCTCCTGGAAATTGGCCTACTTTGAGGCTGGCCTTGCAGGATGTACGCACCTGATACACCCCTGAGAAAATCAGGGAGCTGCTGGGTGACCTGCTGCTCATAAGCCTTGGAGTTCCCGCCTGCCTGCAGCCACTCCGCTAGCAACTGTGTGTGTCACCTCTTAGCATCAAAGCAAGACCCCCCTCATGCAGTAATGTGCCCAAATGATCCCCTGGCTGCTTGCAGATAATAATCTGATATAGACAGGTGAATGGGCAGGAAGGACATCTGAATCCCTGAAAAACCGGAAGCTCGTAAAAATAGAGAGACAGGCTCAAGGATTAGAAGAGGTAGGATTCTATAGCATATAGCAGGAGGGTAGGGATGACACATCCCCAGAATGAGCCCCTCACTCCTCCAGTGAGGACCCTATACCATCTCCTAATGGTGAGCAAACTAGGACCCCAAGTGTTTCCTGAGGACAGATAATAAGGACAACACCAAAATTCATAGCAGGACCTCCTAGGCAGGAGCTGGTCAGAGAAGGGGGCTTCAGACCCTGTGTGGCAGGACAAATTCCCCTTGGTATCTTGATGAAGAGCTTCATCTCCCCAAAGGAGATAGCAGGATCTAGAGTCTGGTATGTGACAGGTGGCCAGGGCTTTGCTTGGTTTTACAGCACATTTGTGTTTGCAGCAAACCTCCAAAGAGCCCTTTAGGGAAAAGAGCCCAGGGGAATGGGATGAAAACAGCCCAGGACAAGTGGGTTCCATGAACCTAGTCTTGCTGCGTCAGATGGGATTGGCCTTCTGGCCTTTGCATTCACCTTTTTACTTTCACTTATGTGGTAGAACTTCTTATTTAAGAATCAGGATTCCTCTCAATGGGAAAACAAAGGCAGGCAATAACCGAAGCTTACAGAGTGATGGGTTCATGATGCCCCTTCCCTCTTGCAGTCCACATATTCTACCCTGAGCATAAAGAGGAATGGGGGGGGCAAAGGGAAATGAGGTCCAATGGGGACCTCCTTGGCTCCCCAAGTTATAGGGGAGTTTTCTCCTAGCCATCTCATCAGTTGCCAGTCCTAAATCACAGAAGCGGCATCCAGAAGGGGCCCCAGTTGTCTCCTTTGTCAAACCGCTTGACTGATGAAAGTGGGATACCCCTTGTTGTCTAATGTGGCCTTGGGAAGCCCCATGGACTAGGGAGAGGGGAAGTAGGACAGGGCATGCAAGACAGCTCCTTCAGTAGACCCCATCAGTCTTATTTCCAGCTTATAAATGTGGGGCTGAAGACAAAGGGTTCCAAACTTAACACTTTTTTCCACTTTTCCCCCAAAGACAGTTATACCATCCAATCTAAACTGAAGGAACAGTCCACCCCAGTCTGTACCCAAAGGCTTGTGTACCATCTGTGCCCTTCTACCAGCAAGTACAATCAGATTTCATCCTTTTGAGGCATCTGTAGAAAAACTGAGACAGCACCATTGTCTAACTGACATTGTTTAGCCAGACAAGGCCCAGGGTCTCTTACAACACAGCTCAGCCACTTCCTTTATAATTCTCCTTACAATAATGACTGCATTTAAAATTCAGATTTTATTATTATTTTTTTAAAAAGAGTTGATTGCTTGATTATGCTTGATCTTTCTGGAGAGACTGGGAATTACTTTTTAATATTAAATGATGTATAGCTAATATCTGGAAGTGAAGGCTCCACAATTTAAGCTCTGGAGTTGCTTGTGGCCTTCAGCATCTGCCCGTCCCCCACCCCAACCTCTCTCTTTTGTAGCTGTGCCCAAAGTGGGAACACTCGTAGGAACAGCCACCAGCGGAAGATCAACCAGCAGGAAGAGAGCTGCCAGAACCTGACCGACTTCACCCCAGCCCGGGTGCCCAGCAGTCTGGACATCTTCACGGCCTATAATGAGACCCTGCAGTGCTCACACGAGTGTGTCAGGGCCTCAGTGCCCGTGTACACTGATGAGACATTGCACTCGACGGGGGAGTACAAATCTACCTTTAATGGAAACCGGTAAGCTCAGATTTGGGCCAGCCTCTGAAGCCACACAACTCCTGCTGACCCAGCCCATGGCAGTGGGATGTGGCCAAGCTCAGGGCAGTGGGTCTGATTAGGTCATTCTTTAGATAGTTTTGAGAGGCCCAGCAGGTGTGGACCGCTAATATGGCAAAAAAAGAGTGGCAGAGTAGATACCAACAGGTGTTATGCCACCCTGAGAGGATGCAGAGCCAGATTCCATTCCTGACCCCTCAACTTGGGCTATAGATGGAAATACATCTTCTCCAACCCTTCCTAGATACTGTGGAGGCAGAGCAACCATCCGTCATCCCCTGGAGTTCAAACACCAGTGTCATAGTTATTAGCCTCCTAAACCAATCAACAAATTATGATTGGTCCCTTCCAGAGTCAGTCTCATGTATTAGCAGCAGATCTAGCAAAAATATCAAATAACAGCTAGGCTCCCAGACCAGACATTTCTTATTAAATGCTCTTTTGTATTATTCATATGTAATCCCTCAAAGAAGATATACCCCTACAACTATCCATGGGAATATTTAAGAAACCCTTGAGTCAGCATCTGAAGGTTGGTCTGGAATTAAATTAAAATATCAATAAGCTATTTTTTTTAAGTGAGCATACACTCATGCATCATGTAAATTAAAAAAAAATCTTGAAAATCTTAGTAATGAAGTGAGTAGGCCACCAGGCTGCCCTGAAAGGCTTACAGTTAGGAGGATTAGCAACAGGGGGACACTGCTCTAGGTCTCCTGAAAGGGTCATGTTGGACCTTTCCAGGGTAAGAAAACTCAACAGGGAGTCACTTTTTAAAAAGGCTAGCTGTGCTTCTGTTTTATTTGCTGATTTGTTCAGAACAGGGAAAGCAGGAAAGAGACATTCCCTTCCCTTTCAGGGGAAAACAAAGTGTAGGCGCCTCAGAACTGTTGCTCTAAACCCCTTTTGTGTCACACTCTGATATTTGGGTAGTTTGTTGGTGGCATCTCAGCCTTCCAGAAGGCCAAGTTCACAAAGAATTGGCCAAAGGATTTTCAAACCTGGTCACTGAATGTGTGTCAGTTCAGATATGAATCTTGGCCAGCTGGTGCTTCAGTATGCAGAACAGGGAGAGAATGGTAGTGAGTTGTGGGTCAGTCCTTATTTTTTTCTACTCTGTGTCTGTATTGTGTGGTATGCCCTGTCCATACACAGGGTTGGCACAACCAGCATCCTCATACCCTGGCATGGAAACACGGAATGAAATAGATTCTTGCTTTTTGACCAAAGGTCATGCTCTGTTGGAACCTACTGGCCTTGGAAATTATAGCTTAGTCTCAAAGGTGACAAAATATATGGCAGCCATTCTAGGAGCTAGGTCCTGTCCTTTCTGTCTTGTGCAATAAAGTGCATTTAATCGCTGCATTAAAAGCTCTGGACTTGTACTGCAAATTCAGAACCTAAAATCTGGAGATGGTGCCACTGTGAATGGGAACATCAGCCTTCAGCTTCCTATCTCAAAGTCCTCAGATCTGCATCTTCCAAAGCCTTGAAAGGTAGAAAGAAGCCCCCCCGCCCCACAAAGCCGTGGGGAGTGGGGGGACCTCCTTTCCTCCCGAAGGACAGTGGGTCCACACAAAGCATTACCTTCCTGGGATTCTTCTAAAAAAACTAGATTTCCGGGGAACCAGCAGTTAGCGTAATGGCTATGTCGCTGGACTCCCACGTAGTCAACCGCGGTTCGTGTCCCAGACCCGGTGGCTTAAAACTCACGCCGGGCGCGTGTGCGTGCGTGCCCAAGATCCCGAGAGGAGAATGGAGGAGAAGGGATTGCGGCGTGACCATCCCCCCTGGGGGGTGATTTCTCGCTTTCTGTCTCTATGTCTCTCTCTGTCTGTCTGGCGAGCGCACGCGCCCTACAGTAAAAATCTCTCCAAAAAAAAAACAACTAGATTTCCGCAGCAGGCTTGACCCAGCTTGCCTGTTGTGTGTTATGTACCAGCACATGCAAGCCCATTTTTCTGATCACTGCAGACCCTCCACTTCCGATCGGCATCTTATTCCTGTGGCCTTTGTGTCTGAGAAATGGTTTGAAATCTCCTGCTGACTGGCCGAAGTCATTTTTACCTCCTGGGGGCAGGGCAGACGCCATGTGACTATTTCATGGTAAGTATCTCCACTTGGGCATTCTGTCCGCACACCCACTGCCTGTTTCACCTTCCTCCCACCTTCCCACCTGCTCGCCCATCGCTATCTTCCTTTCTTCACTTTTAGTTGGGAGCCCTTCTCTACATGTTAGATGGATTTCTAATGGTATTACCTTTCTGAATGCAAACCAGAGAGCTGGGCTTTTAGTGTCTCAGTTGCATTTGTTGTAAGTGGCCCCCACATCACAACAGAAAGGAGTAACAGATATCCATAAACCCTGATTCAGCATCATGGCTGTTATTGTCAGCCGTTCGATCCCCAGGGAAGGCCACAGCGAGTGTGGTTTGTATGGGAGGGAAAAATCATTTCTTTAAACAAGCTACAATTACAAATGTCATTTCCTTCAGC